TACGTCTTACTTCAAAAATCATGAGAGTAGAACCTGATTTCATCCATTTCCCAAGTAGCTTTTGAAAAAGTGAAAGTGTGCAGAACTCACTCTCTCTGTACTTTAGTATGTATTAGAGGAGGTTAAGCCGTGGCCATGCAATCCATCAGAATTTGTCCCAGCTTCCCCAGACTAAACATACTCTCATTACCCGGCCTCGTCGGCCCCGAGGGCTCTCTCAGACCATGTTTATTAGCCCAAGACAGAGTGCATACAAACACTCAGGAGGTAGTTGTACAGTGAAAATGTTTCCCTGAATGCAGTGGCACACTCAGGCAGGCTGGGAGCGTGGACGTAGAAATGACAACAGGTAAACTGTTGCCATGTCAAGACGCCAGGGGCCTTTGAAAGCAAGGTGATGACATCATTACGGCCAAGCAAAGCATTCCCACGTTTCCTGCGCCCTGGTGTAAAGCGAGGCGGTGAGCTGAAACAGAAGCTTTGACTTGTTTTCTCTGTGAATTTCAGTGGTTGGATCTCAGGTTTTGGGTGCTACTGAAATTCACACACCTATCGGAGCTAGGTGACACTCTTTTCATTTATTTGTAGCTTAATTTGAGAAATGCAGGGGTTGTGACCAGTCTTCTGGGGTGTTTTAGTAAACAGTGGTGCACTTTTTTTTTAGGGGTAGACTTGGGGGCTGTTGATTGTATCATGTGATAGACAGAGAAGTGTCAGTCGTCAGCTGTTTACATTACTGACAAGTACTTAGGTGTCAAATGTCTGATAAACATCAGAATCTTGAGGGAGTGAAAGAAGTTTGACACCCTATAGCCACATTAATATTGGTTTGTGACAATTACAGTTTGAACCAATAATGTAGATGTCAGTGTTGAAAAAAAACCTTTAAAATTATGTGGAGTTCAGCAAGCTATAGTTTCAAAGTTGGCTAGTTACATTTTTTTTTTTAAATATGCTACAAGCTAATAGGGTTATAGATTATATTGAAGCTATTTACAGGGGCATTTTTTATATGCACATGATATAATTTCATTGGTTATAGATTTTCTGGCACAAGGAAAGTTTTTGAACAAATAAGCATTCTAAAATAGGGCTTAATTTAAATAGACCTAACTGTATAAAAACTAGGAATGAACAGATTCATTTAACTATTTAGTTGTGCATGGACTTGTGACTGAGATTTTTATTTTATTACTTTTTAATATTATTTTTAGATGAGTTTGTTTACAAAATGATCTGAACTAATTGATTGTATCCTTGTAGAGGACAATATATTTTGACATTATAACTGTGTGATGTATTATACTGAAAGGTTTAGTTCAGTTAGTCTCACTACTTTGAGTTACTTGCCAACAAGGGTAGATGCACAGTTCTACTATTCATTCTTCATAGGGCCTAAAAAAATTGACCAGAAAGAAAGCAGTTAAATGTATTACATACAGCACAGTGTATAATGCCTGTCTCAACTGAGATATGTTCATTAAAATATTTCCTCTTTAATAGTGTTCTAATTATGCTTTAAGAACTTTTTTTTTCATTTTTAAGTCTGGTTTTGGGCTAAGATTATACTGATTTGCAGAGTAAATTGCATCCCCTGTGAAACTCATTACTGTCCTAGTAGTTTCTTGTCTCACATGAATGCGTTGCTACATTAAAAGTGTATTTTCATGCGGCAGATGGTGACTGTTAGAACGATTATATGTTTTGTATACAATTTGCCTATTTAAATCAATGGTTGTTTATTCCGCACAGGTTCATCTTATCAAAGTACGGGGTGTTCTTCAATCCAAAACTCCTGAGATAACATTAACAACACTATCCAGATGCGTTTCCTTTGTCATAGCAGCTCCTGATAGGATGCAAATATCTGTACCATCCACACTACATATGATCGTTATCAGGTGATCAGGCTATTTGCATAAAAATACCATTTCAAGAGGAGAACCACTCCATGAAAGCAAGAATGTGTTATGTAAGTGAGAACTTTATTTGCCTCTCAATAGGCCCCTATAACAACCCCTTTTCCTAGCCATTGTTAATCCACCAGATAGCAGTCAGAACAGTCAGAAGAGGCCCGCCTGTCTAGAGGCTATGCAGAGGAGATGGATCCATGAATCTGCAGCATCAGATAACCCTTACCCTGACTCCGTATTGATCCAAGCTTCAGTGCTCCTGCATAGAAACAGCTGTTTCAAAGAGTTTAGATAACTGAGGGAATATTTGATGAGGGATAGATAAAGTTAAGAACAAATACAACTAAACAGAACCCACACCCTTTATGATAACACTTTATTTCGGTGGTCCACTTTAGACATTTAACTTTGTAACTACATGAAAACGATCTCTCTTTAGAGTATTAGTAGAGTGTTAGGTTAGGGTTAGGTGTTAGGGTTCAGGTTTGTATAAAAAGTTGACATGTAGTTGCAAGGTTACTTATAGTCAGTGGAATGTCTTTTGGGGAACCATTAAAACAAAAAAAAAGAGTCAGCAGACATTAAGCAGACTGTCAATTAATACTCTAATGAGTGGCATTTGACATTTAGTTGGACAGTTACTTATATAATTATATAATGTCTAAAATGGTCCATCAAAATAAAGTGTTACCCTCTTTACTTTATTGCAAATACACAATGAATATTTTAAAGAGGCTCTGCTGAAGCAAAGCAGGTTGTCATACAGCCAGTCATAATAATAATGTTCCTGTTCAGCACAATATTTCAACTCATATATTTCTTTTGGAAGAACAGTGTGAGTTTCAAAAGCAAATAGGATGCACATGTGGACAGCAACACCAACGACCACCTATGCTTTTCTTGTCGACTTATACCTATTCCTTCTGGTACTTGTACTGTGTGCGCATTTATGTCTGGTTTGATCAGGTTTTATCTGCTTTGTGGGGACAAAAATGTCCCACAAGGATAGTAAAACCTAGTGAAATCACACATCAGTGGTCCCCTTATAGAAAACAGTCTAATAAACATGGGAAATAATGTTTTAATGAAAATGTAAAAATGCAAAAAGGTTACTGTGAGAGTTAAGTTTAGGGGGAGAAAATGTCCACCAGAAAGTGTGTGTGTGTGTGTGTGCTGTGCAGCAGTCGGGGGAGAGAGAGGATGTCTCAGATTTCCCTGCACAGAGACCCTCCCTTTTTCAGGATGACTCACACCTCTGCAGTGGCTGACACTCTCACCTCATTCACAGCCCTTAACGAGCCATGCTAATGAGCGGCACATCATTAGAGAATCTGATTCACCTCTGTTTGTGAGCCTATCACAAGAACGATGATGTAACACAAAACGAACCACAGCAAGAGAGCAGACCGCATCCATAGATACTTGTTCATTCAACATTTCTTCTCGTCCAGTAGCAGAGGAGAATGCCTTGGCTTCAGAGTGTATAGGTTTCCTGTATGTCAGCATGTGTTTTTATTTACAAATGTATGACCTTGAGATTTTTTTCTAATGGAGGATTGAAGAAATATGAGTGAGTGGGGGGGGCAGTTTTGTGGTCACTGCGAGAGAGATGTAGTCAGCGGATTGCTTCTTGTCATTTGTGCTTGTCTTACCCCAAGCCTTAGCTTTTTAGGCAAAACTATAGTCACATGTCCAGTGCTCAGGGCAGTTTCTTCCATCATCAGAGGTGAGGGTGATGTAAGGTCTCTGAAGGGCTAGTGATTGCCCTCTAGGGGACAGAAAACAGGAAGTCTTGGCAGATGCATAGTTTCAAGTAACATTACTGACTGCTAACCACAGTGGGCAGGAAAAAGGATCTGTTGGCTTTGAATGAAGCACATCAAGAACTGCCATTTACCTTTTCCCCTTTTGCTGAGAAAACTGAAAATGAATGTATTCCCTGGCAGAAATAAGACACTAGCACAAGTGCTCTGTTAAATGTGCTTTGTTTTTATTTGTATTTTATACACATACTTTTTACAATGGAGAATAAATATCATTAAATGCAGACATTTTAAAAAGTAATACCGTATTATAGAACCACCAGTTGTATATCCCAATTAAATGGCAAATTAGAGTAAAATGCTAAATTATGACACAAATAAAAGAAAAAAAGTAGATGTTATCTCGTTTTTATTCAATAAAACTGTATGTCTCTATGCAGATAGATATAAGGATGATTGTTTAATGACAGGCTTTGTTAACTTGTAATCTTAAAAACAATATTTCTTCTATGCTAAAATATTATGTATTCCATGTCCTTGAATAAAAATCTGATTGTGGCCTTGAACAACCATCCTTCAAGTGGTGTAATGTATGCTAGTTCGGATTATTGATATGATGTGGAATGGTAATTATTTATTTTTTTTAGTTTAGTTTAGCCTTGAACTTTCTTGCTTCTTATTTTCTTCATACATAAATCATAAAACTTTGATTGCAACAACAGCTGTATACCAAATACTCACTGAAATAAATAGTTTTTTTTAATACATTTTCCTGATTTTAACATGATTGATGGGAAGTTATAGTACTGTTTGGGAACAAGCCCTGATAATCTAACATTTCAACACGCTTAGTTTTTCAGCTAATTAAATAGATATAATTGTGGTTATAATCTATCCTAGAATGATTGTTTTATTAAAAAGCTTTTCTTCCTATAAAACCATCCCAGAAGACTGAACATTTCCCCCTAATTGAAGATTCACCCATATCGGAACACAGGAACAGTGTCCAAGCGCCACCTTCAGTATTTTATTAAGAGAGAGTCTGAATGATGAGAGAAAACAGCTTCCATAGCATACACAAATGTTTCCATAACACAAAACTCGCTCCTATAGTCTCACATCATAAAGGATTCTGAAACAGATTAAGTGCGAGCGGTTTGTTTGGTTTCGCTTGTTTATGTGTTGACACTCACATTCCCGTTCAGTTTATCTAGTGATATGCGCGTCTCGCACAGCGTGGGTCCAGACGGGAGCGCGCTAAGGGTTAAAGCGCGCTGCATGGAGTCTGTAGGGCGGAGTGGAGAGGATGTGATTGGAGCGCTACACATGATGTCATGTACATGAAAAAGCCAAGAAGTAGTTAAGAAGGCGGCTTGTAACTCTGGAAAGAGTGGGTGAACCTCTAAGGCGCAGAGAGCAGACGCACGCGGGTGATATTTTGGACACACGGCAACGGCACCATGGTGCAGAAAACGGACAACAGCGAAACGGACAGCATGTCCAGAGAAGCCACAGACTCCGACGAAAGTGAATTCATGGTCTCGATAAACCCAGACTGGTGCAAGACAGCGACCGGACACATAAAACGACCGATGAACGCGTTTATGGTGTGGTCTAAAATCGAGCGGAGAAAGATCATGGAGCAATCTCCAGACATGCACAACGCCGAGATCTCCAAACGCTTGGGCAAGCGCTGGAAAATGCTAAAGGACAGCGAAAAGATACCTTTCATCAGGGAAGCCGAAAGACTCCGGTTGAAACACATGGCTGATTATCCTGACTACAAATACAGACCCAAGAAGAAACCAAAGCTGGACAGTTCCTCCAAACTCTCAGCCCCATCTCCAGAGAAGTCCTGCAACAAAATGTCCAAGACCTCCAAGAAATGTCCCAAACTGAAAACGAACAAGACGGGAAGCAAATCATCTCACTGCTACGGAGATGAGTACGCGTTTAAGAGCATGAAAGTTTCAAAGACTGTCATTAAAAGCGAATTCACGGATGAAGACGACGACATCGACTCCGAGGAGGACTCTCGGGTCAGAGTGAAAGAGGAGGAAGAGGATCCGATCCCCGTCTACAATGTAGCAAAAGTTCCCGCCAGCCCAACTTTGAGCTCGTCTACAGAGTCCGAGGGCGCCAGCATGTACGAGGAGGTCCGGAACAACAGACTCTTCTACAACTTCAAAAACATAACCAAGCAGAGCACAATGTATCCCGCATCTGTCTCACCAGCATCCTCTAGGTCAGTTTCCACGTCTTCCAGCTCTAGCGAAGACGCGGACGACTTGCTTGTTGACTTCAGTTTGAACTTCGCCTCCTCCGCGCAAAGCTCGGAGCTGGGCAACCCGAACCCAGGGAATCTCTCCCTCTCTCTGGTGGATAAGGAGTTGGAGTCTTTTAGCGAGGGAAGCCTGGGCTCCCACTTTGAATTTCCAGACTATTGCACGCCTGAGCTCAGCGAAATGATAGCCGGGGACTGGCTTGAAGCGAACTTTTCTGACTTGGTTTTTACATACTAAATAAGACAAGTCCCAAGTAATAACACACGGGAGAGGTATAATGCTCTGTTCTGTACGTATTTCTTTCCCCTGCCTTCCTCTGGTGGTCCACCTATAGGGGCTTTGGGAAGGAGGCGAGTATGGCAAGCCTCTTAAACATTTACTTCTTTAAACTATTTAGTATCTATGCTTCTGTTGTTAGTATCAATTATTTCATTACGAGTGAGTAATCCAAATGTGACTAGTGTTTATTTCTTTTTTAGTTTCTAGTACTTATTCATGTGCTGCTTTTCACTATTCCAGTACTAACATTTCTTACCTCACTTGTTACACTAGTTTATGTGGCATACGTATTCAGAATAGCTTCTTTTAATTCAATTCAAAATGCTAACAGTTAAAATAAACACAAGTGTCTAACAAATAGGAACTAGTGTATTTTCAATGTTTTTTTTAATACTAGGAAAACTGGAATATTCACACAATAAAAAGTACTGTACTTAATAAAAAAAAATAGTAGGAAATGAAAAAGTATTATTAATAAATACAATTATTGAATGAATAGTTGTGAAATAGATACTAGTCAGTATTGGATTACTTACTAGTAATTAAATAAGTACTAGCAACAAAAAAATAAGATACTGGTTACTTTAAAGGAATAAATGTTAAAATGGCTTGCCATAGGTGGGGAGAGGTTTGAGGAGTTAGATGCTCATGAAGCTGGTACTGTAGCAAAAAAAGAAAAAAGTCTGCAGACGTTTTTTTTCTGGCAGCATGACAGGGTTTTATGGATTTTCTGTAGGTCTACAATTACTGTTCAACTAAAGCGGACCACAAAGGGAAAATCTGAGAACTTCTATGCATCTTATACCCTCTTTCTAACTGCAGGGAGCTGAAAATGTAAAGACTGTGGACTGACTCAAAGCAAATCTGTGAACTAATATTGTTCAGGACGTTTCTTTCAAACGTTTAGTCATTTCTAAATGCCGGAACTTTTACTCTTTTTTTTTTTCTCTCTCTCTCTCTCTTTTTTTTTTTTTTTTTTACTGATTCTGTTTACCTACTGGTTTGAAACTTAAGCAGCCTACACCTCCTTAGAGTTGCAGGTGTTAGAGGAAGCATTTTGATACATAACAGACCTCATCTTTTTAAAAGAAAGCAAACTATTTTCAGGCATATTTTTGTACAGTTAAAAAGGGAATGTTCTTACTGGGCACTCAGTGAGTTTCAGGCACTTCTTCCCTTTATCATTTGTTTTAAGCATGCAAGGGAGTCCTGGTTTAAGGATTAAGTTTAAATTAAAACTTGCATCAAAATGCCTTGTGATTTTAAACTAGGTTTTGTACAGCTGTAGATCAAATTTGTTGAGTATTTGTAGGACATATGGCATTGGGGAGGGGGGAGATGCATACCTCAGTGCTGGTATTAGTTTCAAGATTGTATATGTACTGTAAAATAGTAAAGTTAGGAGTTTATGTATATCATACTCGTGATATGTGGATGGGTCCCAATCGCAGGTGTGAGACTGGATTTTTTTTTTTCTTTCTAATGGCACATACTGTTTCCCCTTCATTTTTTGTGCAATATATTTACTTGTAAATGCAGACCATCTACATTTTTTTTTCTTTTTTGCATTTTTGTAGCAAAATGATGGACAGGCAGACTTTTGCTCTGTCAACATCATTATTTGTCATGATGCTGAAGTCATTGATGAATAAAGAAATCAGCTGGAACTGATCGTAACTGAATATGGTCACATGGTGTGCTTTTCTGTGGAGAAAAAAAACACACCATTTCTCTTTAAACTGACCCACAAAATTGGACAATTCATGTCCTGCAACCAATTTGAAAATGACTCATTTTTAAAGATGTGCCATAATGGGCAAATAATGAATGTCGGTGGTCTGGCTGAAGAAAAACCAAGAAAGCAACAAAAAAAAAAGGTACATTCCATATCCTCGTTTCATATGATGAAACATTTTATTTTCAACTTAAGACTGCCGTCTTTTCTATTAAAAACAACAACTACAACAACCATAAACCTGTATTTTTGTTTCTTGCACTTAAACATATTTTGTTTATTTTTATGTGGGTCTTACATAAAGTCTGTTTTGATACAAGGTTTGGAATATGATGGACTCTTTGCCAGGGAACATGGTGACGTACAAGGCAGCCTATAGCCTCACATTCCAAATGTGAACCTCTCTTCGACTCATCTTTTAATAAACAAATACTTACCACCATAAAATCTCCTCTCAATTTGTTAAATGAAATAATGATGTCATTGTTTGTAACGAGTGGGCTACCCATAAAAAAGAAATTGCTCAAAAGCTTTTGCATAACCTGATTTTTTCCTTTGAAATATATACATCTTTCCAGGCAGGAACCAGTAAAACCAATCAGTTTAAACTTTAAATCATAACAATTCTTCCGCTTCTCCCCTTCGAAGCAACGGCCCCTTTAAGAAATCAAATTGTGCGCTGTTTGAAAGCGGTGTCCTGTGATTGGTGGGATTGTGTGGCCTGTTGGAGTGAAGAGGAGAGACCCAACGTGAATGCTCCACAGCTGCCACTAATCACTGAAGAGCCCAACTCCTCCCATACAGCCCCCCAACTTCCACTGCCCTCTTTTTTTCTTTCTAGTGACCAGTCATGCAGCTTAGAAAAATGGGCTATAAGCAAGAATACACAAACACTCTTAAATAAAATCTGTCATTAGACATTTCAAATCAATATGCACTTAAGAAGATGATTACTAAAGCATTAAAGTGCTCACAACTGCTTTTAGAACAGTTTCTGAAGCATGCAAATGGATCTCTTAAAGATGCATCTATTAAAGATGCATTTACAAAATCTTGCACGGAATGCACTAAAAAAGTAATATGCTAATTACCTACCTTAAATGCCTTAATTGCAACCAATTAATTTGTGATACAGGACTCTTTCTTTGTGATACAGGACTCTTCCTTTCTAGATTTCTGATGGCTGGTGTTTGTATGCAAGAGTGCAATATTCCATATGAGCAAGAAGCTTTTTATACAATTAATAAAGAGCCACGGAGAGCAAAGATAAATGCATTACATCATCCTGATGTAATCGTAAGTGTTTGACATGCATGGATGTACTATATGTATTTAGTTTGGCCATTAAGTCAGTCAGGGCATCAGTAATAAAACATTTATCTAGCTATTACTTTACCTGACCTCTTGGTCAAAGTTACTAATGGATTCATGGAGCGATTCCCCACAGAATGTGCACATTGATTTTGTGCTCCTCTGAAATATCTGGTCCGGCCTAATGCCACCGGAACGCAGTGAAATGAAATTAGTGACCCGTTAAAATTTCCCTCCATTTCCTCTTTAAATAAATGGAAATTTGAAATGCTTGGGAGACATTGAGGAGGATAGCATCTATCAAGTCCAGTAGTTGGAAACTGGTGACAAAAGAAAGTAATTTCCAATGCCTTGAGCGCTTAAATCATTCATAAAATCTGGATGTCATGGCCAAATGCCACATGTGACATCTACATAAAGGCTCCTGGAAAAGAAGCTTTATGGTTTTAAACATTTTTATATTGGATTTGTTGCTCAAAATCTTAGCAAGTCTTCTTCCAAGATGAAGAAGACTATGCAGGGCCGGCACAAGCTCACCTGCCACTATTTCATTCTGCTTCAGCTACCTCAGACAAAAATAATAAATTGGACCATGACAACAAAGCTGTTTTTCTCTCACCAGTGTGTGGATTCACCGTGTGAGCACTGCGTTCTTAATATCCTCTGCTTTGTCAGATGTGCTTCTATGCTTGGCAAGAGAAATGCTCACCAGTGTTTATTGCTATCAGATAGATCACTCCTCCCCAGAACTCAAAGTACAAGAAAAAAGATTAGCTATTGAACTGGTAATAGGAAATGCATTTCAGCAATTGCAGTGACATTCTTCTTGTGCAAAAGAAAGGACGACCTGTTATGTTCCTGTCACTTGCTGTCCATTCCTTGCATTGCATGTCAATCACGAGGCTACTGAACCTCACAAGATTTACTTCCTTTGTTTAGTACACACCACTATGTTCTTTTCTTCTTTTTTTTTGTCAGCAAATTTCACTTTCAACAAATTATATATTTAAATGTTTTATTTCAAAGGGGAAAAGGGTTATATATAAGGGTAATATAATAATAATAATACATAATATAGTGTATATGCTAATATAACTAACATATAATATAATTATAGTAATGGAATATATGGAATAATTGTTAATATCTATAACTAGCATCATTTATATATATATATATATATATATATATATATATATATATATATATATATATATATATATATATATTGACTACAAATTAATACAACATACTGTATATATTGACCACAACATACAATGACTACAACATAATCAGATATTTATATTTTGTTGTTTCTCTGTTGTTTTTTGCACTTGTGGTGCAAATAAAAAAAAAATATATATATTTTTTAAATATTTTAAAATGAGCTTAGAACAAAACACCAACTGTGTTGTTCTGACAAAGTTATTTGGCAAAAAGGGATAAACTGCAGCTAGAGGGTTTATTTTACTATGCAAAAAAAAAAAAGCATAACAAAAAGCTCACAGAAAAAAGCAAATATTGACTAAAACATAATCAGTTACTAATATTTCATTAGTTCTCTCTTGTTTTTGCATGCGTTTATAATTTCTTTGAATGAAAGCCTGACACAATTTGTCATGTTTCATTGCGTTATCACAAATAAGACAATTGACTCCACAATTACACAATAAGCTTACAATAAAAAAATAAATACATTTGAATAATGGGTGAAGATGTCAATTTTCCCAGGCCGGACATCACTTTTGGCCACTACTTTAAATGTATAATTAATTATATCATATAAATTAAGTAAACACTTAAATGTATGTGTTTATTTATTTACAACATCTTTATCTTTTTGTCCTTTAGCATTGAGTAAATTCTCTGTGTTAATGGGTTTGCATGTGCTGGCCCTTCGACAGGCCTATAGAAAGAGCCCTGACCCCTGCTGCTCTGCTGAGATTTGTGGCATGTCCCTAGAGACCCTCGGAGCCATGCTTTGGCTTGGCATCTCCCCACATCGAGGAACGTTTTAAAAACGTAAACATGAGCTAAGCTGGATTTGCACCGCCAGGCTCAGAGATAATACAGCATGCCTATGGTGGCTCAGTTGCTTCTTCCATCGACAGAACACCCCCTCGGTTCAAAATAGCACTTCAATTTGAGCACTTTTGGGCCACGGCTATTTTAAACCGAATTACGCAATAGCACTGTTTTAAACACAATGTAATCATGACCATTTCATCATTAGTCTAATGTTATTCCAGTGCTTTGGGACATGCTTAGCTGGATCCAAAAGGTTAATGCAATGTTTTAATCTTACTCAGAATTATGTATTAATTTGGCTGTTTACCTAAATTTTTACAGCTAGAAAAGGCTTTAAGTTACACTTTACTCAGTCGGTTGCTATAGTACGAGAGAAAAAACTTTGAATGTATCCTGAATCCAAATTTAATCTACCTTCTGTGATCATACTGAGAGTTTTACTGCTCGCTGCTCCCTTGTATGTTTTTTCTATCTACTTGGAAAAGTCTGTTTGGATGGCTGCCCAGATACATGGATTTAGGTATGTAATTTTCCCTATTTTTTCCTCTCTTCACTTCTTTTTTTCCTCTCCTCTCTCTGCAGAGACACAAGAGAAGCCCGTCCGGCACAAACCTCTCATTCATCCTGTGCATTTGTGTTTTTATAATTCAAAGCACTTGCATTGTCTTATTCACTTTTACAGGCTTTCTTTCTATCTTTTTAAAAGCAGAAATCTTTAACAAAATTGTTCCTTATAAGTGATACAGAACGTGCCTCTCAGGAATGAATATGAACAAGTTCCCTATTCTCTCATACAAGTGATAACGGTTAAAAACTCCCCACCCACAGCCTCCCTCTTAGGCCCAACACAAGCAGCAAAGAACAATAGCTTAAGGGTATACAATTTTGACCAAGCCAGCAGCAACTGCTTGTCCATTCATATGCATCTGTAATTTAATACTGTTCTAAGACCTTGACTGGCCCCTCCCATTCTTACTCACTATAGAGACTCTTTCCAATGCACACTGCCCAATGACCATTGTAATCCCCAATGTCCCCTGCTTTCTCTTTCAATTCACATGTTACCCGGGTTACCCCATTAGGGCTACTCTTCATAGTTTGCATCAGCATGGGGTCTAATTTGAAAGTCCCTACTGCTTCAGTAAATAATTAGCACATCAAACCCCCCTCAGGCTCCTCACAGGAAGCTTAGGTCACTAGGAGAGGTTTATTTTGATGAATGCTTTGCTGTTGCTTTCTAGGATGGTGAATTTTACTTCCCCAACTGACATTCTTTCAGGTGTTAATATTGAGTATAGTTTAAAAATAGAGAAAATGGCAAAGACGCCCAAGGCTCAACAGCTGGAGCTTTTGCATCTGTAAGCCGTGTAAAAGAGTCATAAAATGGCAAAGAGATTGGCGGTTACATGCCAGAATGGGAAAAACAAGTGATGAAACGAGTTAGAAATTACACACCCTACTGACAGACCTCGGAAATTCATAGTGCTCTAGTTTTTCATAAGCTTTTTTTGCCCTTTAATTGGGACTAGCATATGTGTTGTTCAGTGGTGTGAAACTCAGTTCATGGTCTTCAAAGAGTTGCATCGAATATCTGCGACATTCCTTGCAATTGTGTCCACCTTGCTATGAAGTGCGTATGAAGCCTAACTT